GACGCCGGGGCGGACCCGCCAACAGCGCAGGGCCCCTCCCCGTGCCTCGGCTGGCGCCCCAAGCGTTGGCTTTCTAAGGGGCGCGGGCCTTGCCCGTAATCAAAGGAGGGGGGCGCTCGGGACGGGCATCAGCTCTGACGCCAGCAGAAAATGGGTGAGCCCCTGAGCCGCTTCCCTAAGGGCACGCACCGGGGAAAGCGGCAAAGGGGTGAAAACAAGCACGATCCATCCGTGCGCCTGTCTTGTTCCTGGGACAAGTAGCCCGGGAGCTTCCTGTCCGTTGACCGAGCTGGATTGGCTCCGTTGTAAGGCGTAGCGGAGGGGGTCGCTATTGGGCCTTTATTTACTGCGGGGTAACGTCGACATCAACAAGGCTGCCCCGCTGCAACAAAGCCCCCTTTGCACAGAAAGTTCATTAAATCCGGAGCCGGGCTCGCTTGGCACATGACGCACGTGCCTTCCCCTTCGGGGGACGGGGGGAGCAAACAAATCACAACACAATCGAGTGATAAAAACAACCCCCTGGCTCGAGGGGCGTTTGGCATAATTCGCGTTTGCCTCGCTTGAGGAATAAAAGAAATTGAGGAGTTAAGAGTGAAACCTAAGCCCTTTGATACATTCACCTGCAGACTGGGGGGGGGGGGGAGCCCCTGCAGTTTAATATTTAAAACGTTAGCGTGAGACCTGCTTTGTTGAGTCTAGCTCCTTTGGGCAGCGTTTTACAGTCGAGGCGTTTTCAGGGGAGTTGAGCAGGGAGCTTCAAGTGTTTCAAAGGAAAATAAGGTCTGCTAAGAAATATACAGCAAGGACCCGACTCCTGAGATGCACTTGTAAGCTGCATCCTCTTCACACCCGCGGTAGATTTCTCTTGGCCCTATTCAGCTGGAGGAGGAGGGAAGCGGGCCAAGCAGAGGAAGGCGCTGAACTTCAGTATAGGAGCTGACAAACAATACTAGCGGCGTCACTTAGGTTCAGCGCCCAACAATAAATAAGTTTCGTTTTGATGCCAAAAGCCATCCCGCCCTGCTGCGAACGGGAGGACTGGCTCCTAGATGACTAAGGGACAAGCGCGCCCCTCTTGAGCGTCCCAGAAACGGCCACCACTCAACGGGGATGGGCGCTGCAGCTCCCACTCGGCTCCAGCCGTCTCTGGAAAGCCAGCCACAGGGACTCTGGTGTCCTTAAAACGTGATCCCTCTAGGGCTGGCGGCAGGCAGCTACCCTCCCCTTATGGGTGGCGGGAGAACAAAGTTAAACAGTGATGGGACCATAAAGCAAGCTTTGAAAGGGGCTACACAAACGGATCACTCGCTCTCCAGGGGGAGCCTGTTCTTTGACAAACGCTCGCCATCACTGGGGTGGGAAAAGGAAATGTCCCAATAATTGGCACAGACCGGATCATCTCTTTTTCAACACGGCAGCCGCTAGGAAGCGAAAGTTAATACCAGCAAACGAATTCAAACACTGAGCCACTGCAGTGTTTAACCAGAAATCCGATTCGGCGATCTCGCTACGGTCGAGCCTTTCCTTAATGCTCTATTTATTTAAGACGGGTTTAGAACTCCTCCTTCCTCTGTGCCTGAATAGATTCAAGTCTCGTTTCTTGCCCACAAAAGCGATTGAAACGTGCTAGGCACGGGCTGCATGTGTAGACTAATTCCATGGCTCCCCAGAATGTCAACAGAAAAGGGAAAATAAAGAGCTGTAGTCTTGTAAATCAAACCGTGGGTTCCGGATCCAACATAACTGTTGGCTTTCTAGCTGAGCCTACTTCGGTTTGGATCTCAGCGCACCTATGCCTCGGTCACTCTGGGACGCTTCTCAGAAGTTATATGAAAGGAAAAATAATCTTTGGGATTTTCAAAACCTGCAGTGAAGCTTTAGCCGCTCATTGTGTTTGTCTCTGCAAATCACATTAGGAAGCAAACACTGGTGTAGTTAACTTTTTATCTACTGCTAATGTAAACAAATAAGCAGCATCTAGCCCCTTGATCTTTATTTAAATATAGACTTGTTTATCGGTGTCAGCCTATGAAGATTAATTAGATACATTTATTCACAATTTCGTGTCTGGCACCCCATTTTAGGAATGCCTTATAATCACAAGGTGTTAATTGGGGCCAGCCAGGCACTTATGTTTCTATTAAACTGTGCGAGGACTTTTCACAAGTTCATTTTACTATGCAGTGCAAAAATATACAGATTTGAAACACACTGCAATCGAATCGTGCTCCTAAACTCGGTGGAATTGGCATTTTGCAACGGTGAGAAGGCAGCTTAGAAAAGCGATTTCGTTAAAATTCCATTACAGACCTCGTCCGTAACTAAAGAGGCAGAAATGCGGATGCAGTTTTAAGGGACTTAAAATTGAAACAAAAATCAGATAATTACTCCGCATTGATCATTTCTTCCAGATCTGCCCCAGCATCAAGATTTGGTAACCCTGGCCCGATCGGCTCTCCTCTCCCACCCCAGCTTCGGCTTGGCTGAAGTTCAAGCCCATTTGAGAGTTCGGGAGAAGTATGGGAGGACAAACGACTGCGTGTTTGTGCAAAGCGGAACGATTCATTGCAACACCGAAAACTCCAAACTGAACGAATCTCTCGAAATCCTAGATGATCCTTTTTTCTAGCCTGAAAGAGGCTCAGACTCAAGGTTTGATGGCAGCTGCTGGCCCCTCTTCAGAAGACTTACGGGAAACGTCCAGGCGTTTTGCATGCTAACATTTGCAAGGTCCGTGAAAAGGGGTTGATGCAAATGCGCCCTTGATTGCGTTAGCTCAGGCAGGGAGGTTCCCGTTTCTAAAGGTTTGATTTATTTGGTTTGCACTTGGGGCAGTGCTGGTAGCTTAATCCTATTACTAGCTGCATTTCAGTTCGTCCCTTTCCCCCCCATGCAAAACGTGCCTGCCTTTGGGATCTGAGCTAGGTCGCCTTGCTGAGCGCTCCCCCCCCCCAGTGCATTATTGCGGGAGAAATGAGTTTCTCCTAACACCAGCGAAACACATTTCTGGCTGGTCCCGCAAAAGAAACGGGGCAGCTTAAAAGCGGTGGCTCTAGCCTCGCTGGAAACTTAGCTGCTGCTCGAAATCACACCACAAACTCCTGCCTCCCCCGCCTCGAGAATACCCCCCTGCAGTCACCAGGCTGGGGAACTCCTGCCCCATCTCTCGCACCGCCTCGCTGCTGCAGCGCTTCTTGGCGGCGAAGCTCACTGGAGGCGATAAGTGAAATTCACAAGTCTCCCCGCAGCTGGGAGCCGGCCCGAGCGAATGCCTCGCCGCCCCCTCCGCAGCGGGGAGGGCCTGGCAGCGGTGCCGAGCAGAGCTTTGAAGGCAGCACGCACGGGGCTCGGGCTAGCTGGCTCCTGGGCCGGCCCCTACGCGTGTCACTTTGCAGGGAGAACGTGCAACCGCAGTGGGGTGAGTGCTGCTCAACCCCGGCCTGCAGCGGAGCGGGCTGGGTTGTAGCTGCTACCTACCGCAGACTAGCGAGACTGGGGGGAGGTGAAGGACCCAGCCATGCTCTGGGGAGATGTCTGCCCTCTGCACACCTCATGTACAGAAGGGGAGACTAGACTCGACTCTCCCCCGCAGGAAAGACTCCTTGATTGTAGTTAAGCTACCCCGGCTGCAACCCGGGCAAGGACTAGCTCCGAAGCCCCCTACGGCGAGGCCTAGGGGAAGATGGGAGCCTCTAGTGCCCCTCTCACATATGTTGTCAATAAAACCCTAAAATTGCCCTGCCCAGTAGGGGAGGGGGGTAGAAACATCAGGACTCTAGCGACTCAGCCCCTGCTAACTGCAAAAGCCAGTAGAGTTAGAATACCCCCTCCCCCACGCTCCCATGAACTGCGGTGGTTAGCTATTTGTTCGTGCAGTTCGACCCTCTGACCATCACTGTGCGTTTGGAAGAGAGAAATTCGCTTCTTCCCCCCTAGCTCTTCCACGAGCGGCCCAATTATCCTTGGACAATTACCTCCTCCCGCCACTTAAGACCTTTAGTAAGACAATGAGGCACCTTTAGGAGCTTGGGAACTCCCCAAACAGTACCTACCCCATGCGAGGATCAGCTCTAGCTGCTAAGGAACAATTACACCCTGCATTTTTCAACAAAAGTCCCTCTACAGCAACGTTGGAAGGGAGGAGGAGAGAATGAAAAGATCTGTTCTAGCCCCAGCACACATCACATTTATTAAAAATTACTATTATGTACATAGAAAAATCCAAGAGAAAAAACGTTGAGACATTTGTGTGCCAGTGCTTCAGGGTTTGCATTATTTTGAAACATCTGAAATTAGTTGCAAGGAGAATGGATAAATTACATCACTTTCAAGTTAATACAGGGCAGCTGAAGAATCACTTTACCTACAAGTCAGTATAGATACCTTTGATATACTTTCAGCAATGCATTTTTAATGCTGCATTAAAAGTTTGCTGGAATAATCAAAAATGCTTTTATAACTCCAAAGCACCAGCTTCATATGATCCCAACCAGACCTCTAATATGTAGACTATTTATACAATGTATTCCACAGTACTCTACAGTGTACCTAAACAAATACTGCTGTACACTTTAATTTTTTTGGCCACACTGGTCAAGTTCACCCTCATAACACCCATTCGCCCCCCCTCCAGAATTAAGTTATTTTATCCCATCCAACCCTACAGAAAGCCAGATTTGGTC